GCGAGACTTCATTTCCGGGGAATTATCTTGTAACAATCCCCAATGGAATGCTTTGTAATATCATTGGCAAAGTCTCTGTGACTTTGGTGCTTTGACATTACAAAAGGATCATTGCATGAAAGTTTAGACTCTAACGGATTCTAGTAGTGGCAAGAATTTGGTATTCTTACACTTGTGATAAGGATTTGGAATTATGAAATGAGCATCATTGGAAATGTGTTCAATTGATCTATTTCACAAAGGAATGAACATAGATAAACAGAGTGTGCATGTTTGGAGCATGGGATGACTATTGGTTTAATTCAAGTATTGAGTTGATTAGTCAAAACAGTAAACAATGAATAAGGTCTAATTAATATGGTGATTAAATAATAAGTGTTTTATTTATATTCAAAAGTTTTGAGACCATATTAGATTAGGTTATTCTTGTGTTTCACTTTGCATGTTTTACTTCTTGAATAATAAGATTGCTCAAGCATCCACAGTCGATCATACTTTGGAAGTAAGTAATGAGGCAAGACTGTCATGAATCCGACTATAGATTGTTTAAGTGCTTAGACATAGCAAATGTTTGCTACAGTGTTCATGACTACTCCTGCAGTAAGATTTTGAGTATTGGACAAAACCCATGCTCATTTGAATCACTTCATGGATTTTATCACGAGTGATTGTGAGACGATAATATCTTATATTCTTGAAACAGAGACATATAGTTGTTGTTTACAAGTCGGTTATGCATTCATAGTGCGTAAACACATCAGTAACTTGATGTTATAAAACGTATTATTGTGTGTGATTTGATGAGTAAATAGTACAAACATATGAGTCGAAGTTTATCTGTTCCTTTTACCCTTAATGGGATAAAAGCGATATCTGCGGGCCCCTCGATGATTTAGTGATGACACCCTAAGCGCTTGGCTAAGCCTGAACTGATTTGATTTGTTCAATTAGTCAGTCGTCATAAATCGGAAATCGGGAAACAAACCTTGGACAGAGAGAATGATTATAATTCATGTCTCATGTCCATACGATATCTTGTAGAATGGAGGAATATTTGATTTCTTATCTAAAGGACACGTTATTGATAAGATCAGAGTTCGATAACGGCTTTTAAAGCTACGATTTCTAGTCAAATTATGAAGTTATACTTGCAATAATAGTTATTAGACTTATCCAAGTGGGAAACTATTGGATTAGGTGTCTAAGCCCATAACTATATTTGGTATGTACTTGATTTGATTTGTAGCATGGTCCTTTTGGGTTGCCTTCACTCATGTAACTTGATAGGATGACTAGTGGAGAGAGAGAGAGAGTAGGATTTATTATATGAATAATAAATTGTTACTCAAAATGATTTTATTAATATATTATAAGATTAATATATTATTTGGAAATCATATTATTAATTAGTAATTAATAAGAAATTAATTTGATGTTAATTTTGGGATTAAAGGAACTGATTAATAATGGAGGGGCTGTTTTGCAAATCATTGATAGTTGCAAAACTGGGCTGATGGACTCCATAAAGTGGAGTGGATGAAATTTATGGGTAAGACCATAAGATTTCGTCCAAGGGCTCTAAAGAAGAGGTCCATGGGCTGCTTAAGCCTTGAGCAAGAACTAGAGTTTACTCCAGAAACCCTAGCAGCCCACCCATCTATATAAATCCCCTACACCTCTTGGAATTTCGGCCCTAAGCTTGAGAAACCCTAGGATAGCCGATTTTCCACCTCTCTCCAAGTCATTCTTTGTATTGGGTGTTTGTGACTCCATTAAAGTTGCAACACTTGGGGGCACTATGCTTTCAAGAGTCAAGGTGGTTCTTGTTATTACTATATAACAAGTGAGGTAATGATCAAACCCTAATTTTATATATGAATTTCGAATTGTATATGCTAGATCTAGGGTTATTGCTTTGGTGTTCATATTTGCATATTAAATAGAGAAAAACTTAGATCCAAAGCAATTAGGGTTGCATGATCACATAGAAATGTAGATATGCTCAAAACCCAACAAAAGGTTCCACATTCTTCATCAACTTCCAAGCCTCCCAAGAGGACCCAAAGAACAACAAAGGTTGTTATTTTTGCATCCTTTCTTTGGTTGGCGTTTAAATCTTTCTATAACTTGCAAGAAGATCCTTGGTAGGTATAAAATGTTTATGTTATTTCAAAATTTTAAGTCTTCCATTGCCATATTTTTCTAGTTTATGAAACTATTTTTGAACTAAAACCCAATAATCTAATTTTTCTATCATTTTTTACAGGCATATATAATTCTTATAATAACATCTAAACACCAATATCAAAATAATAGACATTACTCTTTCTTTTTCCAATGGCATGCAATCCATCAACTCATCGACTACAATTCAACCTTCTCTTCTGTCAATTTAACAAGACCAACCCACAGATTAAAACGGAAACCTACCAACATATCTGCAATTCTTATGTTTGACTTGACAATAGACGAACATATTAATGATCAACATACCCATGCTAACATACCTAAAGGTGTATCAAAAAGGTAACCATCAAAAAATATTTGAATTAATTATTATCTTAAATTTATAGAATTGTTACAGCTACATAGATTGTTATATTTGACATTGATTTTTTTTAACAGATTACATTGATTATGGTGAACAGAATGTTGTGTGTCAAATATGTAATGCAAAGTTATGGATGGATGAATCTATTAGAGGAAAAGATAAAAGAATACAAGTTTTTCACTATGTTGTGGTTATGGCAAGGTTGAGTTGCTAGATTGTAAAGAAGCGCCGCCAGGTTACCTAAATCTTTATTGTTCAACATATTCTAAATCCAAATACTTCATGAACAACATTCGACGTTACAATTCAATGTTTTCATTCACCTCAATGGGTGGGAAAATTGATGCATCCATTAATAGTGGAAAAGCTTCATACATATTTAGACTTGGCGGTCAAAATTATCATAGAATTGGAAGTCTATTACCCTCAAATGGATCTAAACACTGACAATGAGGAGTCAAATAGGCGAACAATTTTTGGGTATATATTCGCACATGTCAAAATTATTTCATATGTTTTCAATATTTATTATTACAACTATTAACTTTTAAATTTCATGTTATCCCCAGTCGATAAGAAGATGCATCTACATCAACTTCTGATTCAATTGATCTTCAGATTATAAATGGTTTGAAGCTTATGTTGGATTCGAATAATGTGTTGGTTCAGTCTTATAGGATGGTAAGAGATTACATCCTTCTATTGGTTGTATGTTTTGCAATGCCAATTAAAAAGTGTCAAAGACAGTCGTTATCGAAGGTTGATGTGTTTATCAAATATCCTGTTATTACATATGATCAATTGTATATTGTCTTATCTACAGTTCAAAGTGAAAGATTAAAATTGTTAATTTTAGAAAAGGATAGTAGACCTATAAACATAATTTCAATGTTTTGCATAAAGAAATTTTTAAAAATTTGTAAACAATATATAGATTTTAAGTTTTCACATCTTTTACTTAATTTTAGTAAATCACACCTCATTCATCATTTTAATTTATGTTGTGTTTATGTATGTTTGTTACATTTCCGTGATTTATATTTTTTATATAACAATGTCATTTCCATAATTTATTGTGTTTTTTTCACTATATTCAAATTTATATTTTATTGTACAAAACATAATTTTATCATGTCTACACATAAAGAAAATATAGCGGATATTAAAAAAATAAATGTATATTAATTTTAACTAACCATTTAATAAGTTATAGACAAAATTTCTATATTTATAATAAAATAATTCGTTTACAAATATTTTATGATTTTAAATTATCATTAATATTTTGTTTTCAAAAGATATTAACCTAGTTTTAAACAAACAAATTTCAAACGAGAGAGGTTCAACCTATATAGTCGTCGCAAAATACTAAGGCCATGTGGTATGACTACGACAGAGGCCACACTTCCCCTACCACATCATCACAAACACTGCCTTTCCACCGCGGTTTGGGTGCGGTGGAGGCCACACTGTGGTATTCCAGAGGAACACTCTTCTCTTCCTATTGTCATTCCAATTGACCGTTTAATGGTAAGATTTTTAAAAAAAATTGTTTTTCTTTTTCTTTTTAAATTCAGTGTGACATCACTGCTTGGGTGTGACATGAAACCATATTTTTATGATAATTGTTGACGTATGAGCTACGTGGCACTCGGTTTAATAAAGAAATATGACACCACTCCCTCCAGCCTAAGACCGGAGGGAGTGGGGTGCGGTTTCAGCTGATTTGGCACTGAAACACCGCCCCCTCCATGCGGTTTCGAAGTGCGGTTTGGGGAGTGTGGCAAGAATCGGGAGCGCTCCCTTTCTCTCTCTCTTCCTCTATCTCTCTATATCTCTCTTCTTTCTCTCTTCTTTCCATTTAATACCATCCTTGGGTGTGGTAAAAAAATATGGTAAAAGGAGGGAGTGTGCCTGATAACTCGATCTTAAACCAACTGATATATCATATATATCCTGTCAGATTAAACCGACCATATTTATTGGGTTCCGAATTCCAACCATCCAACGATCCACACATGACCCACCCTTTGAACCAAACATACAAATATCCCAAACTAAAAGTTGGAATTGGTTGATGTTGATGGTTTGACCGTCTTTTGAATTGTTATGACCAAGTCATGAGAAATGTGTTTGTGGTAAACTTTTATTGATAGTTGATGACGTAGCAGATGATGCAAATTTGTGAAATGCCACCACTTGCGGAGTTATTCGGTGGACTCCCATAGATGGTACCACACGTTCTATTAATTACAACCACGGAATTAACCCACCGTCGCCACAAAACGTTTATCTATTACTTTTTCAATTAAATATGATGTTGACCAAAGATTCATTGAATATTTTGACTTCACATCACACAGTCAACCCTTCGAAATTTTGACTTTACCACTATTCAACCTATATAAGCCATCAAAACGGTACTTCAAAAAAACCAATTAAAGGAAACATGAGTAGCAGCTCAGATGATGTAAGCAGCAGCAATTGTTCAAGCAGATCAGCCGAGAAGAGATACAAAGGCATCAGGTGCCGGAGATGGGGCAAATGGGTATCGGAGATTCGAGTTCCGGGAACCCAAGAACGGCTATGGCTAGGTACGTACACTACTCCAGAGGGTGCAGCGGTGGCTCATGACGTTGCTTCTTATTGTTTGAAAGGAGCCACATCTTTGCACAAACTTAACTTCCCGTCTATGTTACCACCCACGGCGAGGACAGATCTGTCTCCGAGGTCCGTCCAGAAAGCTGCGTCGGATGCTGGCATGGCCATGGACGCACAGTTGATTTCTTCGAGAGAAATGGCGCCCAGTAATGGCGGTTTTACCCAGGAAGGTCAGACGTTGAGTATCTCGGTGGATGATTATCTTTGAATCTGGAGGAATATTTTTGCACATTAGAAGTTTGCATTGCCGAATACAGTGTGTTAATTAGTTGGTATTCCATGTATCAGATATGATTAATAAATCAATCAATGGTAATTCTGCTCGGAATGAAGCTCATATATATATATTTTAAAAAGGATTATATGTATAGCTGTTTATATATATGAACCCCAGAAGATCAAACAAGGTGTTTTATACATGCCAATGCATCTTCCATAATGACATCATAATCGTTTTTAGATACTACAAAAAAGTTTGTTGGTTTGTGGTAATTAAATAGCTCGATGCTGTTTAAAATTGTTGCAATTTATCATACATAATATAATAACCAAATGTGTATTTGAAAGCGTCCTAAAATAAGATAGATTACTTGGATTTGGATATGTATTATATGATCACGTGCATGAAAAGGATGTTTAGACGTGACAAGTTATTATACCGATAATGCTAAAACGGGGAGGAAGTACCAATGGTACCTCCACCACTCCCTCTGGGTTGACGGGTTGCGAGTTGTGGATTTTTTTCTCCCGTTTTACTATCCCTTTCAAACAAAAAATGTCCATTGACTGCTTATACTTTTTGTTTTAAGATTTATATAAAGAAGTTTTGTATGTTTTTAAATTAGTTTGTGAATTAGTTTTTATATTTTTTATATTTGGTAAATTAGTTTTGTATAATTTTTATTAGTTTGTGTTTATTTTTAAAATAAAAAACTGAATAAGTTGAGTGCGATGAGAAAGATATGGATTTCATATGTTGTGGCTTAGGAAAGATACAAGAAAAATGAGAGAAAATGAAAAAAAACTGATGTGATAGTAGGTTGAATGGGTTGAGAGGAAATGAAACCAACTTTTATGTGATGAAGACCAAAGCATCTTTTTAGAGTAAACTGCAAATTTGGTCCCTGCAGTTTATTGATTTATGTGGTTAAGGTCCATTGACTTTTATTTTTGTGGTGATGGTCCTTTTGAGCATGTTTCATAATGGTTTTGATCCCTGCCAAAATTGAAATGTCTATTTTACCTTTTTAATATATTTTTCCTATTATTTTTAACCATTATCTTGAGGTACACCGTTAAATCTAACCACTTTATTGACATATAATTTTGCTAGTTTTTCGAGCAGTGACATATGTTTTATCGTCAAAATAGATCATTTTTCGTAAAAACGTTGAAATTGCATAAATTAGTCCTAAAATATTGTTTAAATAATTAATTAGTTTAACAGTAATTTAAATAGTTAACTAGTTTATAGGTTTCTAGTTTCATGATCATTGAACTAGTCACCTATTAATCAAAAAATACTAGTAATTAGATCATAATTGCTAATCAACTAGGTAATCTCTTTATACTTCATTGCACTTTAATCTATTCACCATAGTAAATACAGATTCGAATTTTAAGTGAAAATGTTACAAAAATCTTTGTCTTTAATTCTAAGTAATTTACTTTGTGTATTAGGTTGAGTAGATAGTTTAAGATTTCATTTAAACAAACCCCCCAATTTAACTTTTTCGCTCCAGTTAATTTAATCCGTTATAAATCATACATATTTCCTAAGTGTTTAACACTGATGTGTATTTTATGCATCATTTTTAAATTTATGAATCTGATTCTATTTAACTAACTGCCACACACTAGGCAGTATACCAAATCGTGAAATAATAGAGTTGTGACATGAAAATGTGTCGAACACTTGGAGAACGGTAGTTAATTAACATTAGAATTTTTTATTATAGGTTATACTAAATAAATGAAAGAAATAAAAGCGGGTGCTAATTATAAAAAGTCAAGTAATCAAGAGCTAAACTAAAAAGATAAACTAATTGGAAACAAATCACTTCGGGTACATGAATACAATTAAATCATGCATACAATGGTCATCTAATTCAAGCACACACTTTAAAGTCTATAACTTTATTATCCTAACCCTAGGTTTTGATCTAACACTAGTTATAATTATTTCAACGTAATAAAACAACTATGATTCATTAAAATATAATTAGATTGGTCTTTTAATCATATAGACTCATCCATAGGCAATTAAACAACGACCTTTAACACATATGGACCTTGAATAAAACTTGACACAATAAATTAAATAAGAATAAATGATCCAAATAGCAAATTAATCCAAAATGTCAATGATTCATCTAATTTAAACATAAAGCAAAATGGTTTTAAAGCCCTAAATCATAAAGTAAAAACAATAGGAAAAGACAATCAAAATACTAATCATGTTTAGAACAACAACCTAAATGATTTTTGTCATGAATCATCTCTAGAACCCTTCACGTCCTTCACATCGTTTGGGAAGGTTTGGATTGTAGGATGTCATAAAGTTGGTAACTTTATGAATCCTTGTGGTAAATTAAAGGTTTATTTCTATGGATCTTGAGAGTTAGCGAGTTTTGCGTGTCTTGCATGGGATTTGGTCTTATTTTCCCTTCATTTTGACATAGCTTATGTTTAATACATACATTGGACATACATGTCTAAAAAGCAATGATTTTTATGATATGCTAAGGTAGAGAATGCTTCCTGGAAAGTTTGGTTGTTTGGCTTGAAGGATTTAGAACCTAATGCATTAAGTTGCCTTTCCTTTAGACCCTAGAACCTAGATCTAGAGTTATAGGGATGTATTACGGGATAAAGTTGGAAACTTTATCCATTAAGACCTTGGAAAGGACAAGATCTGAGCTTTGGAGCTCTTGAAATCGGAAGAAAATGGTTTAAGCTCGTTGGAGTTGTTCCGAACAGTCCCCACGACGTGGCCTTAGGCTACCACGACGTAAAGATTGGGGAATCATCGACTATTTTGGCATTTAGTGCCCACGACATGGCCAAGGAAGGACACGACCCAGAGAGTGGTTGATTGACAATTTTGACCATTGACCTGGACCGTTGACTTTGAATTGAGTTGACTTTTTGTTAAACTCCTAGTTTTCGAAAGAGGTCTAAGGGTTTACCTTGTGTGACTTTATATGTGGTGTATAACATTTGTATTTCTGACAATGAGAGTAGTAGCAGTGATTATTATCTGAGAGGCGTAACATCTTGTTTTGAGGCACTTTCACTTTTGATCCTTATATTGAGATTTATTTCATTTTGGTCCATATAATGAAAGACTTGTGGCTGGGAGGGGCCAATATTGCCACTTTTGGATTTATGGGGCGGAGCCATGTACATTGCGTGGTGAAGTCTTAAACCTTAATACTTAGGGTTTGGACCTTATTTGTTCATCTTTATCTCTCAACCTTGGTTCTTTTCATCAGCCTACATCCTATCAAAACGTCATTGCAACCCTAATACACCTCATGAAGCATTTTTAAGCTTGAGTGTGTGTGTGTTGTGCCTTTGAAGAAGAAGGAAGGAAGTAGAGACCATCTTAGAGGAGTGAAACACTTTAGATCCAGAATCACACCATCATTTGGCATCACTTGGAGATATAAAGTTCTGAACTTGGTGAACTTATACTTAGATCTTGTTTTAGGCTTGATTTTATGTTCTTTTGGTCCCCTAAGCTTGGTATTATGAGTAGGGGTTACTGTAATCCATTTGAGTTGTCCTTTCAGAGGTTTTGGAGACTATTGAGTCATAAAAATGTAATCTTGGACACTAGTTTCTTCTCATGCATGGTCTTAATGGATTAAGAGGTTAAGATCTTTGGTGTTGGGCACTTATTGGCCATGCAAGACCATAAAGTTGGAAACTTTATGGCAAAGACATTGTTTTGGACTTGGATCTGGAAAATAGACTTAAGAGCTTAAGGATTAAGCTCTTAATGAGTTGGGTTGGCAGCCAGCTGCGTACGCTGGGCGTACAAGGCGTACGCTGTGCGTACGTAGTCAACATGCTCGTATCTGGTCATACATCGTGTACGTTGGGTGTACTCAGCAGGGTTGACTCGGTTGACTTTTTGGGAATTTGGACTTTTACTTGATTTTGACCAAGTTTGACCAAGGGGTATTTTCGGTATTTTGGATTGTGTTTGAGAATTTGTCATTTGGATTGATAAGTGGTGGTTAGAGCTGAGATTCAGAGTCGGGATGTCATCAGCTATTTTTCAGATCGAGAGGTGAGTTTCCTCACTATACTTTCGGGTCGAAGGCATCAAGGCCGACCCATTGGATTGATATCCTAGTTTTGCGTATGTTGCTATGTCGTAGTGATATGTTAGGCTTGTATCCTAGTTATAGGATGTTGCTATGTGGTAGTGATTTGTGGATCTGTTTGTTTGCCTGTTGAATGATTATATGTTTATCTGTTATCATATGTTGACATATTGTGTTGGGTTGAGGTTGTACTGCTCTGTGATGTAGCCAACAAACCTAGGAGCATTCCAGATATGAGCTAAGGGCCGATTGGCATGCCATACTCTTATTGAGGGCTCGAGAGCATTCTAGATACGAGTTGAGGGTCGGTTGGTATGCCAAACTCGTACTGAGGGCCTGAGGGTATTCCAGTCTAATGACTGAGTGGACCCGCTTTATATTGGCATTCCAGTCTGATGATTGATTGGGCCAGGGATAAGCCAGATTTATGATGTGGTCCCCGAGGGCAAGCCAGACTTATGTTGTGGACTCAGGAGCAAGCCAAATATGAGTTGTGGGCCTGATAGGCAAGCCAGACTCATATTGTGGGCTCGGGGGTAATCCAGTCTTTTAGTTGTGGACTTAGTGCATGCTGTTATTTGTTATGTTTTCGTTGTGGTACTTTGGGGGAAGTCACTAAGCATTGGATTACAATTTTAGTTTTGTTTCAGGTACTTCAGATAATGTTTTCTAGACACTTCTTTTAGTAAATGGGTTGTTTGGAAAAGTTTAAAATTTTTGTGATTTTTGGGATGTTACAAGTTAGTGTCAGAGCCTTGGTTTGAGCGAATTGGAGGAACACCCGTGTGAATCCAGTCTCAAACTAAGGAACTGCAAAGGTTTTAAAAATGATTTTAAAAATTGTTTTCAAAATAATCAAGAAAGGATGTGATGT